CCTGTCGCTAGCCCCATCGCAATGCCCTATAGAACGTCAACACTCTGTCTCAAGAAGTCATTGAAGGCCTCTGTGCTGAACATCTGAATCGTGGCCGGCGTATGTCACTAAAGCTCAGCGGAGGATCAACACCCGATCTACATATGGCTACAGTCCTCAAGAGCTATTCTACGGTTTCGATGCTCTAACGCCCTTCTCAAGACGGTTTGAAGACGTCAGCAACACTATCGACGAAGACTCTGTCCGTTTCGAGGCTCGACGTCGTGATCGGGAACGACAGAGAATGGTCGACAGCACTCTCAACGTAATGGAGAAGATGCGTGCTGATGCTCTCTCGCGTATCAATCCATCAACCTACACTCGACAAGTCGCACGACGACGTCTATTCAAGGTTGGTGACTCCGTGATGAAGTGGGTCCGTAACGTCGACCCCCTTACTCCTTCATGGAGAGGCCCTCTACTGGTTCAACAAGTACTTGGCGATTCTACTTACAAGCTTTCCGACGGCACTGTTCAAGATTCCAGAAATATGCGGAAGTACTTCGGTAAAGCCCAGAATATGAATCCCATTACTATTGCATATATTCAGTAGATTTAATTCACTTTTGATATTTGTGCCAATCTTACGGGGAGGAGAGATGATAAGAGTCTATAGCCATTCAGTCTTATGGCGTGCGCTCCCTGTAGCGTAAAGCTCGCTCTCGCCCGACCGTTTCAAATATTGTCCGTTCAAACCATTGTTCGGATCCCGTGGATCTATCTGATCTGTCTGCACTCAACCTCCACTAACTATTGAATCCTTATGTCCGGTTCTGCATCGAGTTCTAGTCCTCCGGAAGCCTTCGACCAGCACTTCCTTAACAGCGCAACATTCCGATGAATGTGTTACATTACATCTGGCACGAATTACCATGAACACATTAGCCAGAATGGGTCTGCTTCGCTCCGCTCTACCGCCTCGCACTTTCTAGTATAGTAGACCCATCCATCTCTCCCACCAAAGGGCTCGGCCAAGGCCTGCACGTCAGACCAACTGGCGTAAATATTTGCATGCGGCAGGATGTTCGCGAGATCCCACACTCGCGCACGAGCGGATCTGTTACTATCAAACGCCTTACAGTGCGGCATGAGTTGAATCTCATCGGCTCTAGAGTTGCCAGCTCAAGCTCAGGGACCCGGGTCGGTACGGCTGCTGCTTTTGCTGTGCAAAGTGATGGCGTCAAAGACCGGCAAAGTGTGTTGCACACTTTGCCTGGGCAGTCCGCGGTAAAGCAAAAGACGTCAGCCTCCTGCTGTACGCAGGAAGCTGGCTCAATTCACACCATTCAGTCGCGCAAGTAGGACCAACGGGACTCAAACAAGCGGTCGACGTGCATTGGACCAACATAGCCGATCACGAGGTGATGTTCGGAGCAATTCAGATTGCAACGCGACCATAGATCCGTGTGCGGCACCAAAAAAATAGCAGGAGGCGATAATTCACACAACACAACCCTCTGCAGTGTAGAACGTCTTCCTAGTGTACAGTGTTTCATCTCGCTGACCTCGGCCTCGCTCTTTGAGCCGCCTGAGATCGCTGTAATGTACCCGCGCGTGATAGAAGCTTTATCCGCTGAGTTAAATTGGTGTACTCCGTATGAAGATCTTCAACATGCAAACGCCCTGATATCAATACGCCCTTTCGAAGAACAATTCTCTCATCCGAGCTCACTCTGAGCATGAATCTCTCGTAACATAGCCAGAATCTCAATCTTCTTACAAAGCACCGCGTACCTGAGGCCCGAGGCTTGAACACAGTGACGAGACGACTGACTCACAGTCGGGAAGTTCTCGGAGTGCGGCATTGCGGTTGTAGTTGTGTGAAGCCCATAGCTGAGAGAATTGTATTCACCTCACTTTGAATACAAGCCGCCGCGCTCTCATGCTTGGACGAGGCGGTACGTGAAGTCTGACATGCATCAGTTAGTCAAGAAAGACGATTCAGTAGTATCACCCCATTCGGCAGCGACCCATTGTTCGCCATCAGCATGTGATAGTGTAGGGGGTGCCGGATGTTAGCAGCTGAAAACAAGGTGATACTGTGACGACAGGACTGAGGACTCCGTACTCGATAAACTGGCTCCAATCACGGGTGGTGGGAACAACGAGCAGCTCCGAGCCGCTCGGATTTCCGACGGATCAGCCTGAGGACGCAACAGAGCTCATCTTTGACAGATCCCAATCTGAGTATACCTCACGCTTTCGCTTCTTCCGAGACGACTTAGTGAAACTTTCGCCCTTGACACCGTCCACAAACTCAGCGTACTTGCTGGTCTGAGACACTCAATGAGCAAGTCACTTCCCATGCAGTTCTCACCACTGGTATCTGGCAAGCTCGCAGTAGGTTCCGAAAGTTGAGTCGAAAATGGAGCCTCGAACCCTCGTCGAGATTCAGTTGCTTCTCCAAAATTTGTCTTCGATTATCGTCATAATCCTTATGGTACCTGTAGCACTTTCCAAAGGATACCCTCGGGCTGGATTCTATCACTACTTCGCCGCCAGCAGCGAACACGACTTCTGTTGCGAGTCGCTCATGGCGTGAACACCATCCTTCCTCTCAAGTGCTAAAAGATGGACGAGTATCGTATACATAAGACTCTTTAAAAAACGTTCTCGACAGGGACCTGACAGCGGAAAGTTCCACAATGACAGGACGCGGCTGGTGACTCACAGTGATTGGAGTTGAGGTCAGAGTCACACCGTGTGACCCAACGGTCAACCACTACTGGCCACCGCTCGTGACCACCATAGACCTTTGCAGCCTCGAGGAGGTATTGGCACTCCTCTTGAGTGAAGAGAGGTTTCGTTGTAGTTGTACGGTGTGTACAGGTACCTGATGAAAATCGTCCAAATAATCACTAAGCATATGATTACATTTAAAACGCTTCTCAACATCCTCCTTTATTTTAACCCAAATTTTCTGGTCCAAAACGTCAGGCATGAGTCCTTCTTCTCCCATGAATGGTTTCGCCTTCTTCACAGGGAGTTCGGCAGTAGCGCCAGCATTTTCTCGAGCTTCGGGATTCTGCGTGTTCGCCTCCTGCTCAACTTCTGGTATCTTCTCCCAGTGGTAGGTCGTGAGGCCATTCGCTTGTAACTGACAAGATTCCAAATAATCCATTCTTACGCCGGTCAAGAATGAGCCCCACGAGGCAAGCGGTAGTAAAAAGACAGCTTTGAGTCAACTTACCACAGGTCTCCTCCGCCACCGCGGTTTCGTCTGCCGACAAGCAAGTCCTGCTTTCACTGGATCATCTACGGCCAAACCTGAAGGCGATTCGTACACCGAATGGGCACACCTTACCGACTGACTCACCAATCGGGAACAGCCTTGCGGGACGGAATCGATCACCCTCGAACAAACTCCGGTCTGTATCCACGATCGAGGGAGGCGGTGATGGCGACGTCGTTCGATCCCTGAACGAACTGGAAATATGCACATGGTCAACTACGTGTACTGGTGACAGTACGAAAAATTGTGAAAATTTTGGGAAATTCTTGTCGGCTTCTGTACGTTCCCTTAAAAATTCATGTGTAAAAATCATTGAGCTCAGCTGGGGAATGCCAACATATTTTTCAACACGAAGCCGCATTAAACATCAGAGGGATTCAAAATTGGTTCACTCGATGTTACCGCTCAAAACAACGAGTAGTATTCTTACGCCTGTTATTGTACTTACTCTTCGTCCCTAGGTTCTGATTTTGTTGCCATAGACGATAGAAAAGACACTGGAAAGGAGCCGATGCTCTTCCTATTCATATTTCGTGAACGCAAAAACGAATTGACATTTTCAATATGAGACAAATTGGATGCAATATGTGTTGATGATATCACTTGCAGGGACGCAGTAGTGATGACTTTTCCCACCACAACACCATTGTGCTCAGATTCCTCCAAAATCCTGAGCCTTGTGAAGTAGCTTCCGACTCGAAAGAGATAATGGATAGATAGCAGTAGCATTAGACACGCATGGTATATCAAAAATCGAGCAGAGTATCTCTGCCGCCAGCAACAAGAAGAACTCTTTCCAACCCAGCGGTCAAACAATCACAATACCTACAAAATGTACACTCATTATTTCGCCTTCACGCAGCCTTGTGTGCAGCAGCTGACTTACGCAAGGAAAGCCTCACAATCATCGTCCGTCTCGATGGACCAGATGCTAGGCATATTCATCAGCACTAAGGAGCTCTCTGAAGACCTATAGGGCAGATAAGACTCGAGGACCACAAGAGGTAGACTCACCTTGATACGATGATTCGGTTGAGGGTATAGAAATACTTCTCACTGTCATCATGATCGATGGGGGTATTCCGTGGAGGGCTGGGTCCGTCTTCCTCGCCTACAACTGATTCCGTGGCGCCCTCTTCTACAGGGACCTGGCGAGCGATAATTCATAGCAAAGAGCACTGAGAGCTTATCTCACCATAAACGGCAAGTCTATCGCGGACACTTGTGGAGACGACATATCTTCCCCACCGCACGGTAGCATGGTCGGTCCAGGATGCGGTATGGAATTATCGCTGGACAGCAGTTCATGCGGCTGCGTAGGCCCACCAGTAGCTTGCGGCGGCTGCAGAAACATCTGGCTATGCAGCCTCGTGAAGCTAGGCTGGCCGGTCTTATGCGCCATCAGACGATTCAGACCATGAGGGGTCCCGTCGAAGGCTGATGATGGTACCGGAGTCGGGCCGACCATACCTGCACAGGTAACTTAGCGGTGGATTACTCAGTTATCAATGACGTACTGGGCAGACGAGATCCAGGAAGGAGAGGTTCCACGAGCTGTTGACCTGAGGCTACAGATGATCTCGTCTCCTCGAATACAACGTGGTTAAAGAAATACTATTTTCCAGACGGAGCCCGCAGCAGATGAAAGCAAATAAGAGATAGGGCAAGTTGTAACTCACCTGAATTGAACTGTCCCACACTGGTATCATGGACATCAAACATGGCTGGGTTGGCCAACATAGTGGACCCTATCATCGAGGGACTGTTGAAACCACAAGCTGGCAAGGACGAGTCACGCGCCACAAAAATCCACGCCGTTTCACCTGCAGCGTTCTCCATGGCAGCCCTCTTATTCAGCACTCGAGCACCGACACTCCGTAAAAGCTGCTTCTCCCGGACGGGACTGACGAACACTGAAAAGAGAATTCTCCACTTGAGGAATTCCAAGTGCAATTCCCACGTCCTTGAGCCCGTAAAGAATCTTCTATCTTCTGCCGGAGCTCAGCCTCGTCAATCGAGCCAACACTGTTATACACCTGGCTTCGGCGTCTGCCATCACTCGAATAGACTGCAGGGCCCTCTCTGGGGAAAACGAAGACTTTTCTCGTTATGTATAAGCCTTATGCCTTACGCGCAGTTCATAGAGCCTATACTCGACAACGACGTTCGCCTTGGGATAGAGAGGGGACCGTCAGGACTTGCCCTCTCCCGGGGTGTCCTAGGGGTGTGTTTCTGTTGCGCGCCCTGAACGTTGATGACCGGCACGCTG